CTCAGCTGATGGGTGATTTTTGAACCACTGACTATACTGTGATTGTCGACGCAGGAGGTTGGCAAAGGGGAATGTGGATTTGAAGTATGAAAGAAAATTTGGGATTTTTATTGGTGTGATACATTGCTTTACAGTGTATTTGACTCTGGTGACACTATACATTATTCCGTACTACCTTATTTTACTAGAATTTATTGGATGGCTCGAGGCGTTGCAGTCGTAACTATGTAATATTTGGATTGTATGTTAATCTTTTCTTTTCGTTTAGTCGAGCATTGGAGGACAAGGCTTTTAAGCCATACTGGTAGCTTCTACTCCATCTGTGCTCTGTTAATGCATATTCTGCTTCAGTATTTTCGCTACTTCGTTTCTCAGGGAAGTCTTTGCGGAAGTGAGAGTAGGATCTTGATTGCATAATATTAGAAGGCCATGTAATTACTGGTGCTTTATCTTATTAACTTCGAGGTCCTTAATGAGCATATGCTGATACAACATCGAGTTAAGCACTTTTACCGAGAATATGTTTAACAATGATCCAAATTTGACGCCACCAATTCCAATTACGATGCATAGGGCTTATTAAAATTTGCTGTTAAGACAAAATAAACACCATACGGGAGTTTGCAAACTTACATTTAGGTTTTTTTAGGGAGAATCATCTAAAGGTTGCTTATTTCTAATCCAAGGCCGTACGAATATTTCTACAAATTGTGGCAAACGTAATATTCAGTATTTTAGGCCACTAAACTGAGTAAATTTTCAAAATAATAGGTTTTTTAAAAGTTTTACACAAATAAAGTTTTTAAAGGTTTTGATTACTGTAAACATTTTCAAGCGAGCTTAATTTGTTTAAGCTTATGGAATTGACATGTGGAAGCTTCGGATGCTGCATTTTATTAGTGACAGTAATTGTGTGCCATTGCAATTCTACGGTTTCTAAGCCAAAAGTCGCCTCAAATTTCACTTATAACCTATTCGAATTGGTTGTGTATGGATTTGATACATGAACTGTTACCTTGTAGCTCCTAAGTCATCTCAAATGGATAGGTTTCGCAAATCCCTCAGCGTACGCAAGAAGAAAGAGCCCGAAACCACCGAATCATCTAGACCTCAACTTTGGATTGAAGATGAAAGGAAAATCAAGGAAGGTTCCTGTAGCTTTCAAGTCAAAGTAAGCCTTCTATGCAAAATTACTCCCAGTATCTTGGTTGTATTGAGGTCTTTGAGTCTCGAGGTATGCAGGTCTGTGAGGAAGCCATAAAAGCACTTCGGAAATCTAAAGTATTGCATGCTTGCATCTATACTTGTTTCTAGAGAAAAACCCAACGAGCTCTTCTGTATGTTAGTGGCGATGCGTTACGAGTCTCTGATGAGATTAGCAAAGTAAGTTGGTATTAATTTAAAAAATGCAAACTAGCACTTGATTGTTGATCAAACCATCGAGAAGGTATCTTTTTGTGCTCCTGACCGTGGTCATGATAAGGGTTTTGCCTATATTTGCCGTGATGGGGCGACTCGTCGGTGGATGTGCCATGCGTTTCTAGCTATTAAGGAGTCGGTGGGTCATTGCTATCAAATTTTATCCTAGATCTCGATTTTCTTTCTTCCTTGTTAGTTTATTGCGGCTCGGCAACTACTTAACCCTTTGTCATCCTTGTGTTTATCACTTATTACAAATGCTACTTTACTTGAAGAATAGATGGCATAACCAATGTTTCTTTTTACAAAATAGGGCGAACGTTTGTCACATGCGGTTGGCTGTGCATTCGCCATTTGTCTTGAAAGGAAACAGAAGCGCGAACGCGATGCGGTGCAGGCTACTTATGCTAACGAAGATGGAACTTTCGTCCGAATGAGTTCCTTCCGTCAGGTGTGCATCGTTACATATTTGTATGAACATTACGCATTTTATGCATGTTCCCGTTAAACCGCCTTAAAAAACGGATATTTCTCACAGGAATGCATAGGATCGGAACAATTGTCGTTGGCGTTTTGGAACAACGACGTGTCGAAACCTAGCGAACAATAACGAAATAGATACATTTTCTGTCAGTGCTAATCAGTTTAACCCATCACATTTTATGTTGGTTCCGAAATGCTTTCTCATTCAATGCTTTTTGTCGTAGTTTGCTGCTTGTATTGGTCAACGCACTGGAGGGACTTGAGATTATAATTTATGCATTACCAGTCACTCACTCATTTGAGCTCTTCTTGCAGTTGTAAACGCTGAGCATCTAACTAACGCTTCTTTGTCCACGTAATCTAAAAACTCGAAAGAACTACTAAATTGATCCATTGCTCACTAAAAAATACTTTGAGCTTAGTAATTGTTCGCTTTCCGAAATGCCCTAGCCAAAGTGTCCATTTATAAGTTATAACCCGAGTTTCACATTGTTTATTTGCTGTTCGACCCGGGAAACCTATTGATAATATATTGGTGAGAAGCTTGTATTCATCACAATTTATCAGCTCACTCATTAGGCTCTAACGTTCTTTTTCGTAGGGTTGAAAATTGTTTCCGTCGTGGGATCAGATCCTTATTTCGAATTAACAGTAACAGGACTTTTGTTAGTGGGTCCGAAATCGTTTATAATGTTTAGCACTTTCTATCCTTCATTGTCATATTATTTGTACATTCCTTGTTAGGTAACCTAGGCAATTGCCGGCTAGTTTTAAAAGCCGATGCTGAGTCTTAAACGTGTTTTTGTTAATACCGCCCAAATGCAACCTGGACGTTAATTTGGCGCTTACTACGCAATTTCACGCCATACTATTGTAACAATGGGGATTTTATTATTAGAAATTCCTCATCATTTAATTTTTAAAATAATGTATAAATTAAATAGTTTATTATTCCTCTGTTTCGCTCTGGAGATTTATCCTGTTTTTTTCCTGGTAAAGTGTTTATTGATTAGGTATTCTGGTCATCATCACAAGAAATCATTACTAAATAAAGCTATTCATTTGGTTTATAACCAGATTCCCAAACTTATCACTTTTACGCTTTGATGAAAAGGCTGATCTGGCATAATATATTCTTTATTGTTGTTTGATAATTAAAGACTAGTCTTTCTGAACGTCTTCTTGATCCCCAATCTGCGATTGTTGTTGACCACCCTGCCGAGGCTCCATCTAAATCTCACGTCTCGGAGGCCAAGATGGATAACGGAACCATAGTTCCATTTGAAATTGGGCCTGATAAGGGTGCAATCCCACCGAAACTCGGGAGCGGCGCCATTCCTCGACCCCGTGCCAGTCCTTCCCTCATTGAGCGTCAGGTTGGTTTTCCCTGCTGAATGTATTGAGTCGCCTTGGGTGTAGCTGCAAACTTCCATTTCAATCGAGTCACAGGTATCGCTTCTTGCAGGTAAATCAACTGCTCCACAAACTGACAGGGAATTGATTCCATTTGGTTCTCAAATGTCCGCATTTGTGACGGTTCAAAGGCTTTTTAACTTCACTAACCTGCATTCGTTGTTTTTTTTTCGATTGCCCAAATTACTTCCAAATAGCATTTCAAACTTTCAACTCCGCATATCTATAAAACTAAAGACTTGTGCACCACATAACTTCTCTGGGTAGAGACTACTCTGTAACCCGATTGTTCTGCACCTCTTTGGATGAATACCACTTTGGTGTTCTTGCTCAGTTTGGGTGCTTTTTTCTACAAAATTGATTCGAAGTAACATTTAGCTAAAAAAAAGTTTATTTGTGGAAATCATAGTTCGACATGTAGTGCTCCTTTACCACGACAATCAATGAATGATTCTCCAAAATCTTAGTAAACATGAACAAGCGTATTTTTATGCAGTGCTTGAAGGGACATACAGGAATTTACCATATTTATGGAATCTGCTTTATCCGCTTTTGGTCGTGCTTTCTTTTTGCATGAAATTATATTGTTTTACAGTGGCCTCTATGTACCTTCATAACTATTCCCCATAAATTAACGAATTTCATTTTAAGGCAAATGTTATTACTTTCTCCGTTTCGTGGCAAACGATATCTATATTGCAGATTTTATTGTATTTGCCCTTCTTTTTAATCGTAATTGTTCCCTCATTAATTAAATTTGGGACTAATTTTCTCGTTTCCTGCAATTTCTATTTTGCAGTAGCTGCTTTTGATTATGAAGAACGCCTAAGCTTACTCTGTTTGACACCTTCCCAGCCAAAATGATGTCTGTTCGCGATACGGTTGAGTGTTCTTTGTTCAAGCTCCTTAAAGATCCATTCTCTTAATAGTGCTCGATCTCCTGAAAAGATTTCTTTATTCAAAAAAATTATAAATTGTCCCAAAATTCACCTTCATTTCAGTTCTGTTTTGCCGACATCTTTTGTAAAAGGATTTGTGTATGTTGCAATTATAAGATCCTTCTATGCCTTCACATTTCCAATCGCAGCTCTAATTTCTTATTCTTACAATTTATGAGAGAATAGCTGGAGATGGTTTGTTGAAATGTAGTACTTTTAATTGATTCCTGACTCTTACTCTTTCTACTCCAGTAATAACTATTATCAATTATGCTCTCGATTATTTATCTATGTGATCTGCCATGCATGTCTTTCATAAACTTGTAAGTTAGTAGGATAGCCTCTTTTGAACTAGTTTACTGCAGAATACGAAATCACACTGAATCTCCAAGAACTTAGGTAACTTATGATTATTTTTGGGTACTAATTGATATAGTTCAAATTGGTAGCATTCGCTATCACCGTTTCACTGTGTCCGGATGACTGTTAAAATGCACATTTCTATTTTCCGTTTCAGACGTCATTGAGGCTGTTCCCGAAGCTACAGGAAACTAGTCCTTTCAAACATCATTTTTCCATGCGTTCAAGGGATCCGGGAGCCTTAACACTGCAAAGAACAAATCTTATTATGAATGGTACAAAATTTTATGATTAAAGTCAACTCGTTACTGCATAGTCTCATTTGTTGTGCTACTCCGTTTTTCTACTGCCCTTGATCTTATTGTATATTCTGTTTTACTTTTAAAGAAGTAGGCCTCCTGCATCTCTATTATATTTCATGATAAAAACTGGTAATCGCAGATTTTGTTCCATAATTGGATTCTTATCACGCGACTTTGCCTCATATCTAAGGCGGGTTTGCTGCACTCCATGCTTGGTTCTGTATTTCATCAACATGACTTCGGGGTTTTACTAATTTTCACGTTGTCTGTTGAAATGTTTCGGAATCTAGGTTGTTTTCAATGCGTGTTTGGCAGCTCGTCGCGTTTTTGAATGTTTCACGACTTTAAGCCATGCGGTGTCTGTGCATCCGTAGATCACATTATACATTTGTCAATACAAAGAAATCAAGTTATCTTAGTATTTCCTATTTCGTGTTGCGTTGATTACACAAAATCATGAGTAAAACAGCTGTAAGACCTCTGAAACATCTGTACAAACCTCGATGTAGACCATACCCTACACACGGCACAATATCTCTGCGTTTCTCAAAAGATACGACAAGGTGTGCGTTCACTATTTCCACTCAACTTATGGATCTTGTATAAAGTCGTACGTTTCCTTTAACAAATTTTACTATATTCTCTGCGGGCATTCTCTTCGGGACTGGATTGCGTAATAACTTTCCTAGTGATGTGAACATTTTTTTATTCCTAAATATTTAAAACGAATAAGAACATGGCATGCCTTTTACTTTAATTTCCCCTCATTCACGCATAACTGGAGCTTATTCGCATTCTCTAATTCATGTTTATATGATTTTTGTAGGGGCAACGATCCCCGAGGAAACTAGTACCGAGTTGGAAGAGACGTCAGGTACAAATCATTCGGCAGATTCCATGACGTTGCCCTTGAGAAGGACATCCCAAACTCCCCAACCGGCTAATTTTGCATTCCGTAATCCTCTAATCACTGGGATAACGAGGGTATCACCCACTTTCCCCGTATCGTTCGATGAGATTGATACCTCAGCCACTGGAGGTCGGGAGGAGATTGATGACCTACTTGCTCTGGATCCCTTTTCCGCCGCTCCCTTCAACCCTGCCACCATTCAACAGCATCAGACGGCTCAGCAGCAACAACAACTGCGGAGTTTGAATAATTTTTCTTCAAATACTACCTCATCCATACCTCCGTGCGGAGTTTCACTGGTAGGTAGTCTACGTATTTTACCATTGATCCTTTTGTTGTAACGAGGGGTAAATGTCATCATTATTGCCCTATCACGTCTCTTTAATTCCTCCAAGCAGCACTTTACTATGGAATTTTGTGAAGTAACATAACAAGCAAAAAAACTGCTTTGGTAGTTGTGCATGAAAGCACGCAGTTCTCTGTAAATATGCTGTTTTCATGTCATCTTGCTACGATTGTTTCACGTTATATTGCTCATAAAACAGCCGAAATTTGGAATCTTTTGTCGAAATACGTTGCTACTCTCCGGATCATAGTGGTATTATTTCACATTTAAGCATGCTAAAATCCAAGTAATTTCCACGTATGCGAATAACTGAAATTTTCTTTGATCGAATTCGTAGCCTATTCTGTGAACCCCTTCTCGATTGTTTTCAGTTACTTCCTGTGAAAGTGTCCAAACGTATGTACCTTAGATTTTTCCATGACTCAATGAATGGATCATTTTCTATCTGAGCGTATTTTGTTAATTTACTTTATTCAGCCACCTTGTCGAGGACGATATAGCTATTATACGCATATCCATTACTTAAACTTTCCCAATGGCACTATTATGTCTCGATAACTTGCAGGCAGCGTCACCGGCACTTTTTCCACTCTCTGACTGGCCGGACATTGCTGATGATGGTGGTAGCGACGGGAGCGCTAAAGTCTTCTCTGCGCCTTTCACTCTCACGTCGATGGAAGTTGCTCCCGTTACGTCATTTCCTGATAATTCGGAGCTGATACCGTCCCTCCAGTCACATTCTGCAGGCGGTAATGCATCACACGTAGAAGCGTCTCCCCTTTTCCACTTCCCATCCTCGCCAACTACTACCGAAAGCGCCATTTCATCCTCAAATGCGATGATTCTCTTTGGAGCAGATGTCAAATGCCAGCCGTCGTTGGCTGAGTCCTCCACAGGTACTGATCCTACTGACCTTACGCAATGGATAATTGTCAGGTGAAATTCGGGACCATCTTGTACTTGCCCAGCTGGCACCGTTCGATGTCATTCTTAGGTCTAGTTACAGCTATTGCCTCATGAGCTCTTTTGGATCTTGCCACTTCTGGTAGCTCACTATTTTTTGTGTGAATTAAGAAGCTTCTACTTTCCCCCTTAATAATAATTATTGCTCTTCCTAATTGACTGAAGCTTAAGTATGTTAAGCGCAGTGCCGCTGGGAGTCGATTCGCGTGGGTATTGCAATAATCATACTACGTATCCAGTGAATAGACGTTTGTATATTTGTTATTGCATCTTGCCATGGGTAATTAAACCTTAATTTTTTGAATTTTTACTGGTCAAAAGCCATAATTTTGTCCGAAACTCTTCCTATCGACTTAATAAGCTTATTGGCGCTGATTCAATCACAATCACGTTTAGATTCAACCCGTCTCATAGTATCACTCTCCGATTGGTGTCGATGTGACTGTGTCTGTTTATTTTTATCGTAAACATCTATCCTACTGGTGTGTTCACTTTGTCACCGACATTGCTATGCCAACCCTGTTAAATCATCGGCTCTACTGTGCTGTTTTATTACAGTGTTGCAGATAAACGCATTGGAATCCCAAATGTGTGATTTAAAGAAAACTGATCGAATGACGTTCTCATCAAATTTTCAAGGTACTTTGAGAACTGCAGTTTCAGCAATGTTGGCGAACATACTGATGCTGATTTCGTCATGATTTGCCCGTGAACGTGCCATGGGTTATCCTATTCTGACTATTTTATAGTCTGGGTATTCTAGCTGGGAAAATTCTGGTGCATACGTAATTGAGTTCCTAAGCTTCTATCGCAGTAGTCATTGTGCTATTTCGTCAGACCGAAATCTAAAACCAACATGGTGTACCTTCTCACAGTAAGACAACAGAGCTTTGCTTTACAGTACTTCCATTTAATTATTTTTGGTAACCAGATGTCGAGTTATCAATTATTCATCATAATGAAATATGTGTTTCAACTGGTTCCGAACGCAGTCACTGCTTCAAGTGCCACATGTCTGCGCTATTTTAGTGACCACGGTGTTTGCGGGTGCACAGCGGCCGAGTCCTGAGACGGCCCTGACACAATGGCTACCGGGTCGGTTGCCACACAAGCAGATCACTTTTGGTGTCGACCCCTTCGACCTTGACTGGGCGGAACGGGCAACTGCGGTGGCCAAGGGCCAACTGGCGGCTTGCTTTCTCGCCTCCTCTACCACCCCCTTAGGACACTTGCCGGCAGCACTGCCTCCTCATCCTCCTACTGCTGCTGCTACTGTTTGTACCAATCCATTCCTCGTCCTTCCCCCTGATGAACGGTGAAACGAACTGTGAGCGGTGCCTTGGCGAGCAGCAAATCGACCTATTCGTAGAGCTCTGAGCATTTACTCCCTCTTTTCTTGCCCAAATTCAATACTGTGATTAACCACCTCAGTTGTTCTCTCATTTTCATCGCGATCACTTAAGCCTTCCTCTCCTGACCTGGGTAATATCATCCACCTTTTTGTTGTTCTATTTCGTTCGTTTTCTTGCATGTTCCTCAACGCATGATGCAGTCGTCAATACACACATGTGAACACTTGACTTCAACCTCCTTTTGTCAGAAAAAATAATTTGTATTCATCTAGACAGATAACTTTATTTAACAGCCGTGTTTGAATTAATGGCATGCATCGAATATTGCACCTCTCTAACGGGCTGGGATGGCTAGGCTTACGATTACTAGTGTGTCTCAGTTCTAGCCCCCATGTAAGTGTGTTATGTAAAACTCGTTCAATGTCAGTAAGTTTTTACAGGTCGTGTTTCCTGACTAAACATGGACTATCTTTGTGCATGGCAGAACTATTTGGTTATTTGATAGAGCGTGATTGTGCTTATTTTTGTCAAGAAGATTCCTGCATTCGAGGCTGCGTACATGGATTTAATAAATGGGGAAATAGGGTCTCACCGTGCATGGTATGCCTTATGCTCCTACTTGCGCAACACTAGCATAGCGGTACTAATTGCAGGTGAATTGCATAAATTGACGCTAGTATTAGCAATGTCAATGGGAAGAACTTTAATTAGATCATGAGTGTGAGCTCATTCGTGTCAAAGCTAAGAGAAAGTACTTTAAAAAAGTAGCTGAAGGTGGCTAGCGGATTGAAAAGTCGTTTACTAGCATTTGTGACATTCTATGTAGAGAGCAATGAATTTTCATAAGTGTTAATAAAACCCTCTCCCTCAAAACAATACAAACTTTCTAGTTCCGCACCCCATGGTGGAGTGATTTCAACTCAAGCAATAGAAAGATTATACTAAGATTGTGACGCAATGAAGGAATAGTAAAGCAGGAGTTTTTTTTATAAAAATAGCCTCACGAATACCTGGTATTCGGAAATACGCTGTAAGCTGAGCATTCACAGGCTGATTTTCAGTGAGACTAAATGATGGCTTTTGTAAACACCAACCTTCTCAGCAGGAGTCATGAATGAACTTTCGAGGACTCGTAATCTCTGGATTTGTGGAAGGGCTTTTATTCGCTTTCCTACGTGAGGTGTGAACAGTACCAAATTTCGACCTTGCGTATTCTCATAAACTAGTCTCACCGTGTAGGAACATATTTTCGAAGTACAAACAGTATACATACAATTCCGAAAACAACTGAATGGATCGAAAGGCAAGATTTAGACTATGTGATATTGATTTTTACTTACTAAACTGTAGTAAACTAGTACTTTGTTAGACTGTGCGCTTAACGACGTAGAAAATTCAGTTTCCACTTGTTGCACTATCGCCTTCCGGTGTGGTTATTGAGCCATACCGGTAGCCTCCAAACTTCTCTACGCACTAGCAATATACATTCATCCTCAGTGCCTTGACATTGTACGACTTCAGGGGAAAATCGGGGCCTTAAAATGAATTGGAAGCCCGCCATAGGTGCTTTGAGGGTGGCTGTCTTTTCCTTTATTTAATAAAACCACACTACATGCAAGCTTTTTACACTGGTTTATGAAGTCAGATAACGAATTAATAATTAATTCGTGGAATATGTAACACATGTTAAATAGAGAACAGGGAGGTGAATAGAAATGGCAGCTAGTGGAATGCGCGATATTTGATGTTAAGAGCGTATCACACCAATAAAAATCCCAAATTTTCTTTCATACTTCAAATCCACATTCCCCTTTGCCAACTGTAATACGATGGTGGTTTATCCCTCGATTCTGGTGAGGCGCCACTTTTGTGCTTCGAATTAGCCCCCTTGTACCTCGCTGGGTGGGCTGGCCTTTTGGGCCATGCCAATAGCCCAGACACCTTCTCTGCGCTGAATATATATTCTGCCCGAGTATTTTGTCTTCTTTCGTCTTCAGGGAGTCTCGGGACGCTACACAACCTCCTGCGTCGACAATCACAGTATAGTCAGTGGTTCAAAAATCACCCATCAGCTGGG